CTTATCATATATGCATAAATGATGAGTTGTTTGAAACCTTGAAGTCTTTAACCTCAAAGCCAAACATCTTTCTTCCAAATGGATCATTTCTCACTGCTTCTTATGCAAGATCTGTTAAGCTTAAGTTCTCATATCATATTAAAAGAAGTATTCGACATTTTCTGCCTTTAAATACAATATCCTATCTGTAAGTCTTCTACTTAAATAGTCTATCTGCAAACTTACCTTTTCATTTGACCTTTGTGAAATTTAGGACCCAAGTTATAACTAAGTTTTGGCCATTGGGAAACAAGAAAACAACCTTTACATTTTAACCAAAGAAGTCTCCCTTACCGATCACCTTACCTCAGTCTTCACCTCAACAGAAGAATCCCTACTTTGGCATAGAAGGTTTGGACATACCTCTGATGATACGCTTAAGCAGTTACCTTTCTCAATATTTTTTAAATGTAAACCATGCGACATTTGTCACAAGGCTAAACAAGCTAGGTTGCCCTTTAATAAAAAAGTCTCTTATGCTACATGTAATTTTGAACTTGTGCATATGGACTTATGGGGACCTTAAATAATACCCACCATGAATGGCTGGCACTATTTCTTAACCATTGTGGATGACCACTCACGAGCTACTTGGACATACCTCATACCAAACAAGCAAAATATTTTTCAAATTATTGAAATCTTTATCTTCTATATTCAAACACATTTCAATTCTATATTCAAACACATTTCAATCACACTATCAAAAGAATCATGATTGATAATGGTTTTAAATTCATAAACCAGCACTGCAAAATGATAAATCAAATATTTGGCATTGAACACCACCATTCATGCCCTTAAAGCCCACAACGGAATGTTATAGATGAAATAAAACACAAACACCTTCTTCAATTAACCAGAGCTTTGCTATTTCAAGCAAAATTTCCCTCAAGATTTTGGGGCGAAATCCTCCTACATGCTACATATATCCTTAACAGACTACCGTCTTATGTTCTTGGCTGGTCTACCCCTTATGAAAAACTATACCTCACCAAGCCTGATTTATCCAATCTAAGAGTATTTTGATGTTTATGTTATGCTGTCAATAATAAACCTACTAAAATCAAACTTGACCCAAGAGCCTACAAGTGTTTGTTTCTTGGTTTCCTATTTGGCCAAAAGGATTTTAAGCTCTATGATATAGAAAACAAGAAGTGTCTTACCGCTAGAGACGTTGTCTTCTATGAAAATGAGTTTCCTTACTAATTTTATGTTAATTATGTAGCTCCTACACCACCTAACACTGATCTGACATATCCAAACCAACCTCGCTTCAATTATCCACTAGGCACACCCACTCTGCAACCAACACCCAATCCAACTATTAGCCAAAACACATAACCTTAAGATCTGCCACCAGTTACACAATCTTCATCACCCATCCACCCAAACACACCATCCTTCTGCCTTGATTCCACAACCAACACTCTCATATCTAACCGTACATCCACTCAATCAACACAAGAAGTCCTACTTGATCTAGCCTTCAGTCCTTTCCCATCTACTCCAGCCAGACCTAAAAGACAAACTAGAAAACCGACTTGGATGACAGATTATGTCAGTCTTCTTGCCACCTTGCCTTCCACCTCTAACTCATCATCTTTATGTATTTGACATATTGCATTTTCTCTTGATATGCAGGAACCAACATCCTATGTACAGGCTTACAAAAAGATGTTGCCTGGAGAGCTGCTATAGAGGAAGAACTTGAAGCTTTACACAGGAACAATACGTGGGAGGTCATTACCTTGCCCGGAGGAACAAAACCTATCTCCTATAAATGAGTGTATAGAATTAAGAGAAATGTTGATGGAGGAATGCAAAAATTCAAAGCTCGACTTGTCGCCAAAGGATACTTACAAATTCTAGGAAATGATTATTTATCATTTGAACCGGTTGCTAAAAGTGTGACAGTGGGGATGTTTTTGGCAGTAGCTTGCACCAAGCATTGGAAAGTTCACAAACTTGACATGAACAATGTGTTCCTACATGTCTGACTTGAAGAATAAGTTTATATGACACCACCCCAAGGAAGTCACATACCTTCAGGGAAAGTATGCAAGTTGAACAAATCCCTCTACGGACTTAAGCGAGCTTTCTATGCAATGGTACAAGCAATTTGCTGCCAAGATTGTTGAGTATGGCTTTCAACAATCCATACACGCTCATTCTTTTTTCACACTATCTCATGGTGATTGCTTTATTGCCTTGTTGGCGTATGTCGACAATATTCTTCTCACCGACACTGACTTTATGGAAATCACAGCAGTCAAGGAATTTCTTCATCAGGAGTTTACTATTAAAAATCTTGGAAATGCTTATCTTTTCCTTGGTATCCAGATCACAGACACATCTGTTAGAATTAGCGTGTCTCAACAGAGGTTCATTGACGACATCCTTGATGAAGCAGGTCGTCATGATGCCACTCCTTGTGTCACACTTTTTGCTACTGGATGCAAATTACAGCATGATAAGGGTGATCCTCTACCGAATCTAGAAAACTACAGACGCATTGTTGGTCGCTTACTATATTTCACAATGACTAGGCCGACATTTTCTATGTTGTGCAACAGCTCTATAAATTTATGGCATCCCCCACATCCTTACACTGGAAGGTTGTGCAAAGGATTTTCAAATATCTCAAAGATACCGAGCACTTTGAACTTCTTTTTCCTTCTACTAGAGATCTCAACCTGGCTACCTACTCAAATGCTGATTGAGAATATTGCTTAGACACTACAAAAATCTCTCACTAGTTACTGCATATGGCTCGACTATTGCCTTATTTCTTGAAAGACAAAGAAGCAACCCACACTCTCTAATCCTCCCACGAAGCTGAATACCGTGCATTAGCTACTACTGTGTCTGAACTACTTTGGTTCACTTATCTGTTCATAGATTTTCTCATTCAGGTGTCCTTGCCGGGACACGGTAGCTGAGACAAATGGAGTATTAAATACATACAAGTGTTTAAAATTAGCTTTTCAAACAACTCTTAACTTTTAAAATATTTTTATTTTTTGACCAATCCAAAAGCTAATTTAAATGTTTGATAAATTAAGATTTTTAAATAACTTTTTTAACCTAAAAAACTTGTCTTTAATCACAATCAAAATATAAAACAAAAATTCTACAAATAAATACATTATATATATAATCAATTATATTTATAAAGTTAAATATAAATATATTGTGGACAAAAAATTATGTTATTTTTAATAAACACAAATTATATTTAATTTAGATTTAAAGCGGGTCTTATTCTCTAAATGAGTCATTTGATTCTCTTTCCAGGTCGATTTGTTTTTCAACTTAGTTTTCGATGGCTTCTTTGATCCGAAGAGATTTGGTCTTCGGTTTGATTTTGCCGGACTTTTGAGGGTTTTGGTCTCCGTGCGGATAATTTGATCCTCAACTTTGGATTTGATGTCTTCTTTGGACAATCCGCGGCTTTGATCTTTGGTTTGCCTTTTCCGCCTTTTGGAGAGCTTCGGTCTCCTTATGGGCGATTCGATCGTCGGCTTTCGATTTGATGTCTTATTTGGACGATCCGCGGCTTCGATCTTTGGTTTGGCTTTTCCGCCTTTTGGAGAGCTTCGGTCTCCGTGTGGACGATTTGATCATCAGCTTTAGATTTGATGTCTTCTTTAGACGATCTGAGGCTTTGATCTTTGATTTAGCTTTGCCGCCTTTTAGAGGGTTTTGGTCTCCGTGTGGGCGATTTGATCGTCGGCTTTGGATTTGGTGTCTTCTTTAGACGATCTGAGGCTTTGATCTTTGATTTAGCTTTGTCGCCTTTTAGAGGGCTTTGGTCTCCGTGTGGGCGATTTGATCGTCGGCTTTGGATTTAGTGTCTTCTTTAGACGATCCGAGACTTTGGTCTTTGCTTTGTCTTTGCCTTTTTTGGAGGATTTTGATCTCCATGTAGGCGATTTGATCATCGACTTTAGATTTAATGTCTTCTTTAGACGATCCGAGGCTTTGATCTTTGATTTGGCTTTGCCGCCTTTTAGAGGGCTTTGGTCTCAGTGTGGGTGATTTGATCGTCGGCTTTGGATTTGGTGTTTTCTTTAGACGATCCAAGGCTTTGATCTTTGTTCGGCTTTACCGCCTTTTAGAGAGCTTTGGTCTCCGTGTGAGCGATTTGATCATCGGCTTTGGATTTGATGTCTTATTTCAACTATCCGCGGCTTTGATCTTTGGTTTGGTTTTGCCTCCTTTTGGAGAGTTTTGGTCTCCGTGTGGACGATTTGATCATCGGCTTTGAATTTGATGTTTTCTTTGGACGATCCGAGACTTTGATCTTTGGTTTGCCTTTTCCGCCTTTTGGAGAGTTTCGGTCTCTGTGTGGACGATTTGATCGTCGGCTTTGGATTTGAAGTATTCTTTTAACGATCCGCGGCTTTGATCTTTGGCTTGCATTTTCCGCCTTTTAGAGAGCTTCGGTCTGCATGTGGACAATTTGATCGTCGGCTTCGGATTTGGTGTCTTCTTTGGACGATCCGAGGCTTTGATCTTTGATTTGGCTTTGCCGCCTTTGGTCTATGTGTAATCGATTTGATTCTCAACTTTGGATTTGATGTCTTCTTTGGACGATCCGCAGCTTTGATCTTTGAGGTGGTGGATTTGGTGCTCCATAACACTTTTGGTAGCGTGTCCCTTTGACTTTTGGTACTGTAACTTAACATTACAAATACCCTCCTAATTTATAATATATTACACTTTGAAAGAATATTTATTACTAAATTAGAAAATAATAATCTTATTTTTATTTTTGGGAGGGACGAAAATAAAAAATAATAATCATTCAATTGCAATTGGACGGACAGGGTATAAAATAAAGAAACCGATCAAGTAATTATAACAAATTTCTTTTATCTATTATTTTTTCTTATTTCTAAAAACATATTAAAACACAACCAAACAATACAAAGCAAATACTTATATACAATGCCAGAAGGTTCTACTACTTTCGAATCCTAGCATCCAATCGAGAGCCCATATCCCAATTAGGTACGAATTAAAACCCTTACTCAACCGATACGCTTCGAATTTCCAGCAATGGCAGCCGCCGCAGCACCGCCGCAGCCACCGTCCGCAGCCGCCATCACCCTACCGGAATCCACCCCTTCCGGCGACACGCTCTTCACCCGCATCCGTCTCGCCACTAGGGACGACGTTCCCCACATTCACAAGCTCATCCACCAAATGGCGGTTTTCGAACGCCTCACGCATCTCTTCGAAGCCACCACCGACTCCCTCGCCGCCACTCTATTCCCCCCAAATCCGCCGCCGTCTTTTACTTCCTTCACTGTCTTCCTCCTCGAGCTCTCCTCCGTCCCGTTCCCCGCCACCACCGACCGCAATTTCGCTCCAATTCTGAAGTCCATCCACATCGATCTCCCAATCGACGATCCCGAGAGGCGCGAGTTCAGAAGCAACGCCGGAGATGTCCAAACAATTGGAAACGACGCGGCGGTCGCCGGATTCGCGTTGTTTTTCCCCAATTACTCGACATTTCTGGCGAAGCCTGGGTTCTACATCGAGGATATCTTCGTGAGGGAGTGTTACCGGCGGAAGGGTTTGGGGAAATTGCTGCTGTCGGCGGTGGCGACGCAGGCCACAAAGATGGGGTACGGGCGGGTGGAGTGGGTGGTGCTGGACTGGAACGTGAATGCGATTGCGTTTTACGAGCAGATGGGAGCTAAGGTATTGCCGGAGTGGAGGATTTGCAGGCTTACTGGAGAAGCACTCGAGGCTTATGCTACTGGTAATGCTAATGTTAGTGTTAATGTTAATAATGTTAACCTTTGATTCCATTTCTGTTTCTGTCTCTGTCTCTTCTTGAATGCTTTCTTGTTGTTCTATCAATAATCTATGCTCCTGTGGTAATCTTGGTTGTTTTTTTTTTTTTGATGAAATCTGTTCTTGTTGCTTGCTTATGATTTGTGGGTTTAATATTTCCCTGTTTCACTTGATAATTTGAGTAATTTGGAATTGGAGTAGGAGTTGTGTGTATTGATGAGCTGTGTTAATGTTATGCTGTAGATAAAGGGTGTGTTTGTTTGTGGACATGAGATTTTGGGTTTTAGGATTTTTTAATAGTAAAAAAATGAATTTGAATAGTTGTTTTGATGCAATATAAATATATATATATATATCGATGTGATGTTTTGAACGAAAAGTAAATTTGTAGTATAATATAAAAAAAGAAAAATTAATGTTTGATGTAATATTTTTAAAAAAGAAAAAAGAATGAAAAAATTTGTTCTAGAACTCACGTAAGAACACAATATAGATCTTGAAAAATGCCACACTTTGGGATGATTATTGCGTGTGAGTTTTTGTTTGTTACAAATGATTTGAGTTTGTTTAAATTGAGGTTTTCGGAGGTTTTTTGGAAATTTCGAATTTTGGAAAAAGTAAAACATTCCCATATCTATATATTTAGCAGAGAGTTTTAAAAATATTAGTATTATATCATGATAAAGTAGAAATAAAGGTAAAAAAGACTAAATTAACTCTATTAGTATTGTGTGATATAAATGTAATGACATTTGTGTAATATATTGTAAATTAGAATGATATTTGTAATGTTAGGTAGATAGTACAATTACTAAAAAAAGAAATGGATATTTTGTTATGGGACGGATCAAAATGAAAAAATGAATAAATTGTTAAGGGACGGAAGGAGTGTATTTTTTAAAAAATGAATAGTGTCAATAATTGAAAGTGTGGATGATTATTGTGTGTGTATGTTTTTGTTTGTTACAAGGAGAGTGATTTGGGAATAGATTCTTCGTTTAAGGTTTGTGGTGAAGGCAGGGCTAAGGGATAATTGCTCTATGTTTTATTTATGGTTTAATAAATGTACAACATATTTATTCAGTGAAGTTACGATGTTCCTCACATATATGTTTTATTAAATCATTGCAGATTCCTCACATATATGTTTTATTAAATCATTGCAGATTCCTCACATATATGTTTTATTAAATCATTGCAGAGTGACAAGTGTCTTTGTTCCTAATTTGTTTATGTCGGACAATAAATTATTGAAATTGGATGGTTTTATTGGTTGCCATTTTAACTGATGGAGGTGGTACTTGTAAAACTTCTATGATAGGTGCATTGAGATTCCATTCATCTTCTATTATTATATTATGTATAATAATGCAAACAATGATAATATCATGCAGAATATTTTTTTGGCAAAATTGGATAACTACAGTGATTATATGCCAATATGATTGTAAAACTCTAAAAACACACTCAACAACTTTTTTACAAAAAATTTGATTTTGTTCAAAAAATCTTTTATTTGAATCTCGTGGACTGTGAATAGTTTGCACAAAGTAATCCACTTAGGGTTAAATATCATCAACTAGATAATATCCTACATTGTATTATTTTCCTTAAAGAGTAAAATGTGCCGGAGGAACAATACCTAAAACAAGATTGAAAAACAAGTGCGAGGACTATAAAATATGAATGTCTTTATTAGCACTTAGCATACCAAAATATGCATGTCATGTCCACGGATTTAAGAATACTATGATCTGCATATTGATATGTGAAAGCCATGAGACTTTTTTTTTTTTTTTTTTTTTTTATGTCCAATGCATATATTTTGAACAGTCAAACATACTTGAAAAACTACAAGATTCTATGATATAAAGCAACTTTGCAATATCATTAGTATTAGGAATTGAATCACTAATGGCGTATGACTAAACTAAAAATCTTGATTGATAGACTGCAATATCCGTATAAAATCAGATCCAAATCATGAAGAAAGTTGTTTGAAAGTTATTTGTTTGCATCAATAAAATGGAAACTTTAAAATTCAATGGAGCTTTACAGATGAATATTGTAAGTCTTATTTGAAATTTATTGTTAATATATATATATATATATATAAAGTTATATTTGTAATGGCAAAGTATTGTTTGTAGTTAAATAAAACAAATGAGATTAGAGGTCGCAAAAATAGGCACAGTCCGAAAATTCGGTCCAAATCCGACACAAAAAAAATCGTGCTTGGGCCTCCAAAAATAGGCCCGAATTTTTTCGGGCCGAGCCTAACCCGACCTGATTTTCTAAAATCAATATTTAATATATTTATATATATATATATATATATTAACTAACGAAATAATAACAAAAGTTTAGATGTAGTTTAATGGTAAAGTCCTTAAATTGTTTTACAATTAGTTGTGGTTTCAAATTGTCATCCCTAAATGAAAGAGGATGAAGTTTAAAAAAATATTTTAAATTTGATTAAGTTCGGAATTTGTTAAAAAAATTTAATGATCACAATGAAGTTTAATGAAATTTTACATAAAAGAGAAAAATGAAATTTTAGAAATCAAATTTACAGTCTCTTTAATATATTTTCTCACTATTTTAGTGATATTTATGAGAATGAAAATGGTAATATTCCTCTGTATTAAATCAGTATATTTTAATATATATATTTCTTTTATGTAATTTGTATTTTATCAATGTAATTTATGTCTTTTTTTTTTTTTATGTAATGTGTTTTTATGTAATTAATTTCACTATCTTTACTTTAAAAATATTTCATCCATGGTGCGGACTTTCAAAAATAATATTATTCTAATTACACTGGATAATTAAAAATAATACAAAGATAATTTTGTCTTTATTTTTTAGTGTAAAAGTTATAAATGTGCACGGTTCAGATAATTACAAATATATATGTATTTGGTATCCGAATCGAATCGAACAAATAATCGAAACTGTGAATTGTACTCGAACCGAAACTGAATTAAAAAAACTAATATATTTAAAAATAATTAAAATTTCAATTAACTAAAAATATTTACAAATATTTCAAATTAAACCGAACCGAAATTAAATATAAAATAACTATATTCAACAAGCACGTAAAAATATTCAAAATTTATGCAATTCATCAAATATTGTTAAAATATGTCATTAAATATTATTCGTAATACCATAAACACATGCATAATAAAAAACATACATCCAATTATCTCAAAATAAGACCACAAAGGTATAAACACATACATATGCAGCATATCCAAATTGAAATTCATACATTCACATGAAGATCCCAAAACTATGCGTATCCATAAAGTCACTAAGTGTGTTCGTCTGTAGGATTTTGATAAAATTCTACTATTTATTCAAAAAAATTTCTCCAAAAATATCAAATCAAACACCTATTTTTTATTTTTTATATTATACTAAAAATCAATTTTACATTCAAAACATCACATCAACACTTATTTATATCACATCATACAACTATTCAAATTCAAAATTTTTACTATTCAAATCCCAACTCAAAATCCAAACACACCCTAAAAGAAAATATTCATAAATCACCAAATTATTTAAAGAGAACATCCTAATGATTCTAGGTACATGTCTTTGCTTCTGTAATGTCATATTTTTGAATAGTCTCTACTCATATTTCAACAAGGCAAATCAATTCATAAAATATATTGAATTATATAAATTATAATTAAGAATAATAATCAATATTCAATTATCCATCTACAAATAAATATTTGTTAATGTACCAAATTAATTAGTATATAAAATAATTTACTGTGAATAATTCGATTACTTCAATGCTATTTCTCCGAATTTAAAATTTGTGTTTCTCATACTATAAAAAAATCAACAAATATATAAATATATATATTAGTATAGACAGATGTAAATGGGGGTTTGGAGGGCAATTGGCCCCAACCCCCCCCCCCCCCCCCTAGTTTGAGATAAATAAAATTGATATAAATACATTATTTTGCTCCTTTAAAATTTAAATTTATATATTGTTATTATTATTATTATTTTAATTTATATTAATATATAATAATTTTAATTATATTTTATATAAAGAAAATAATTTTTTGTACTAAATATTATCAGAAGTGTCTTCTTTGCATTATCTTCTAGTTTTTTTTTTTTTAATTATCCATTGCATGAAGGAAGTTTCAAAGAAATAGAATTGAAATGGTACTGAAAAGAACTAGACCAACATATTTTAAAAAAAAAAAATTAATTTTTAATAAAAGCAAAAAAAAAAAAAAAAAAAAATTGGTTAATATATGTATGTACATATAGTATTAGTATATGGTTTAGAAAAATATCTGCTTCTATTTTCTCAAAATCTTTTACATCCACAATTTGAGGATTACCCTTTTGAATCTAATTTTGTATACATATGAGTGCTTCGACCAACTTTGGGATAAGAACTTCGAGAGTGGTCTATAATATTCCATTCAGTAGAAAAAGCAAATTCCGTAGCAACCGTGGATACTGGAATGACTAGTACATCTTTCTCCATGCGAGAAAGTGTTGGATATTTTGATTATCTTCTTTTCAACGAATACAAGATATCAAAATTTATCTGGGTAATTTTTTTCACATTCATTGTCTAAATATCTATCCAACTCCGACTTCAATGCACCATGCACTTTAATTGCTCTAAGTTCTTCCAACTTTTTTTGCAATTTGAGAAATATGTGTTGTGGTATTAGAGCAACCTTGGCTCAATGAATCCATTTCAATGTTAGATATTGAAGTGGAATTATATTCATCAAAGATCATCCTCACAACATCCCGAATTGATTGAAGCAATTAATTCTTTTGCTTCACTCTCTCTATACACATGATTGACAATAAAATTCACTCAATGCATTTAGTGGCGAGGATCAAGGATGGTCACAAGATAAATGATTGGATTTACTTTATTCCAATCCTCCCCAATACTTGAAAAACTTCGCAAACATTTTGAAAATCATTCATCTAACCAATGGCTCCAGATCTTCCACAATTGATTAAATATTATATGCAACACGAAAAATATTTTTCATGTAAAAAATTTTCCGTTGCATATTTGAATCCAGAGATTTTTGCAGTTGTATCATAAAAATACTTTGAAAATTGAATAAATCTACGCCCATATGACCAATCATCTTCTATGTGTGGCGCTTTGTCATTTTTTTTTCAACTCTTTCTTGTATTTTTCATCTCCATATTCCAATAAATCAAATGAATATTTTACTCTTAAGGTGGAATCTAATATTTTATATATTGAATTTCATCTCATATCAACATCCGAATAAGCAATAGTATTTGTATTCAACCGTTGTTTTCCCATCAGCTTTTTAAATGCTTGTGTTCGGTTGGAAGAAAACCTCACATAAAGAATAACATATCAGATTCACTCTATTTAACCTTTTATTTCATTCAATTCATCATTAACAATAAAATTCAAGATATGCACACCACATCTCAAATGTAAGAACTTCTCATCTAAAGTCAATCCTCCCCATTTTTTCAATCTATCATTTAGATATATCAAGCAAACACCATTCGAACTTGCATTATCAACCTTTATGATAAAAAAATTATTAATCTTTCATGCCACCACACAATCTTCAATTTTCTTTCGGCAAAATAGCATAAAACCCTCATGTGGTTTTTCTAATTTGTTGAAAACTCCCTCTAATTCTAAAATTTCATATTACCTACTCGTGGTTTAAAAAATTTTGCAAAATATACCATTTTGTTAATACTTAACGGAGACTGTAAAACACGCGCCTAAACAGAGAGTGGTGCTACAGAATCATATACTCCTTCCGTCCAATAACAAAGTATACATTTTTCCATTTTAGTCCGTCCCATAACAAAGTATCTATTTTTTTTTTAGTAATTGTACTATCTACCTAACATTACAAATACCCTCACAACTTACAATATATTACATAAATGTCATTATCTTTATATCACATTATACTAATAAGGTTATTTTAGTAATTTCTATTTTATTTCTATTATATCCTAATATAATACTAATATTTCTAAAACTTCGTGGTAATAATAAAATTACTTTCATCCAATTACTTTCATCCTCCCCACTTCTTCTTCCTCTGTTCCTCATTCCCATCTTCTTCTTCTTCTTCGACAGCAAATCTCTATCAACTTTTAAAAATCCATCTAATATATAAGTTTTCACCTTCCCAAGAATACCTTATCCTTACATCCCATCAGTGTATAAAAAAGTGGCTGCAAACATGCAACCTCCACCCTTGCCGGGAAACTGCGAACGAACTTTGGCTATCTCATCAACTATGGAAGAAAAGAAATCCACCATCGATATATATACATATGATGCTTTTTTTTTTTGGACACTACTGTACTGTCTGAGTCTCTTTATATATATATATATATATATATATATATTTTTAGATATATAGAATAAAAATCAATTTTAGTCACAATCAAACTTATATATATTTTTTAAATTTTTGGTCCAATTCAAAAAAAAAATATCAAAATTAATCATATATAAAAGATAAATTATCATTTTTAGTCTCATCTTTAAAATTTCAACGAAATAAACTAATGTGGCCATAACGGAACTGATGTGGTAAGTGATTTGGAACAAATACACCCTTGTTAAGCGTGTTATATTACTATATTTATATCAACACGGGCTGGCCAGCCCGTGTTGGTATAAATATAGTAATATATTGCTTAACTGCAATGACACGCCCCCAGTTATTATTAACACGGGCGTGATTGTTTCAAATCACTTGTCACATTATATGTTAGTTTTTTTTGTTGAGTAAAAATGATAATTTATTTTTTGTATATGATTAATTTTGATAATTTTTTTTTTTTGGATGAGACTAAAAATAGAAAAATTGGTTTGATTGGGAGTAAAATTGATTTTTACTCACGTATATATTTTTGTACTTTCAATTTTATTCCCTTAACAATATGACAAAAAAAAAAAAAAAAAAAAAGGATTTATCACTTTCCGCCGCATACCAAGTGGGAATTGCTCAAATCTAATTATTGTCTTTTGCTTCGATTTCATTCCAATATGGCCTTATTTCAGGCCTTCCCGACGAAACTGGCCTCGAATGCCTTGTATGAGTTCAACGCCAGAGTGTCCCGCCGTCGCCGCCGTCTTTGGAGTTTGAACCGCTAGATTTGACTTCCTGAGTTCTGGACCCGCCGGAGACTGTCCGGGTCGACCCGGGGAGTGGTTGTTGTGTCTCAGGCCATTTCCCCGCCGGCGGTTCTTCTCGCGTTCCTTCTATCATTTTCTGCTCCAAGATTAAGGGTGATCGGAGATGGTGGCGGCAGGGGAAGATATGATGGAGCAGAAGGGGAAAAGAGCAAGAAAGAAGAAGAAATAGAAGAGAGAGAAAACAAACATTAAAAGCAAAAATATATAAATAACGGCACAACAGTATAAAATTTAACTCTAATTTGAAGCAAATTTAAAAAATTACATGAAAATTTTTTATTAGAAAAATTATTTTTCCTATAAAAAAAAATTGACTCTCCCTCTTTAAAAAATATTCTCTCCCTTCATTCACTTAAAAAAAAATATTATCGATATGAACGTCCAATTATAAAATAATTATTTTATTAAATATTCTATATATTTTTTTTATAAATATTTTTATTTTATTATACTACTCTTGACCGTCCATTGTAATTATACTTGTTATTTGGACTGAGGAAGTATTTGAATCAAAAGCAAAATTTTTATAATTCCCTTCCTTACCTGGCCTCCTAAACCCTCAAACCAAACAAACAGACCTTAGGTTACCAATGGAGTTCCGCCGCAGGGGAGCGCACCACCATCCTCATCCCCAAGCTACGAATTCTGAGGGCTGCAAGGTGAATCACTTTCTCACTCTGTCTCATACACGCGTGTTTGAGTTTCTGCATCATATCGATTGGTGCTTTTGGTTCCGAAACCACCGGATAGGATGCCGCTTGATGGGAATTGGAGCTAGTTGGATGCGCAAGTGGAACTATTGAATGATCTATTCGAGTTAATTTTGAATTTTATACTTTATTGGTTGATGTACGTTTCACAGGCAAGTTGGCCAGATGTTTGCTTGATTTCCCTTCTCGTACATTAGAATGGACTGATTTGATGATTGCTGTACAGTTTTTGGATCCTTGCAATTGGAGTTCTTAGGTGACAATAATTGGTTTAAAATAAGAATAAAATCTCAGGCATGAACAATTGAGGGAGAATAAATCTCTGAGGCCTATCCTTGTATATGATCCTACATAGTTTTTCTTCTTGCAGCAACTTTTTTTTTTTTGTTTATTATCTTGTTCCAATCATTTGTTGGTTATATCTTTGTGGGGCTTTATTGTAGATTAATGATGCTGTGGAGGCGATGTCCTTTTGAAATTGGCCTGTAATTCAATTGGGTCTTTATACAAGGTTAGATGCATTTGGGGAATATGTCAATTGAGGAAGCTATAGATTTGGGACAAGGGAAGGTGGAATGTAATTCTGACCAAGTGGATGTTTATAAGACTAAAGTTGATGAGCTAATCACAAAGGTTGACAAAGTAAGCAGTTTATGTGCATCTTGCTGTCTTAATTAATATGAATGTTAGAGCTTTGATGATTTGTGATGCCAGATGCTATCGTAAGCTTGTTTTGCCAAATGCTCTACTATGTTTTGGCTTCAGATAATTTTAGACTGTTTCGACTAACATGTTTAATCCAAGAGCTGTTGATCATAGCTTCAGATAATTTTAGACAGTTGAATCTAATAAATAATATTGAAACCACGCCTTGCACTTGCACCATGGAAATAGTGACTTTGGTACGCCTCTTGATGTGGCGTGCCTCGCCGTAGAAAAGGGCCTGGGCTGCTTGCGGTGCCATTTACAGCTGTGCTGTTGATAGTATTTAATTTCAAGATCTAAAGGGAGAAGTACCTTGAATTTTTATGTCAGAAGTTGCTTTACTGATTCATTCAATTGCTTTTATATTCTGTTATGTAGCCTGAAATTGTATCCTTTACCTATAGAGTTCGCTTGAATTGTGAAATCAATTTTGTTTTCCAATTATTATATTTGAATTTCAGATTGAACAAAGAGTGAATGAAGTTGAGCAGTTTTACTCAAATGCAAAGCAAAATGCAAAACCAAAAACTTCTAGAAGTGCTTCAATTCATAAAGATAAAGAGAAGGAGAAAAATATCCCCAGCATGAAGAAGCTTCAACTGGATGCTTCTCGTAGACAGGCTGCTGCAGCGAAGAGAATGCAAGACCTTATGCGGCAGTTTGGCAGTATATTTCGTCAGGCAGGTCTCTTGTATACTGACTGCTTGGGCGTGTTTCATGTCATATGATGACCTCTTGTTTGTTCTGCTTTTATATTAAGAGAAAATTAATAATCATGTACATCACTGCTTCGGGTATCGTGTGTTCTTATCATGTTTCCTATTCTAATGTTTTAGATGACACAGCACAAATTTGCATGGCCCTTTATGCAACCAGTGGATGTTGAGGGACTTGGGCTACATGATTACTATCAGGTTTGCTTCATCGGCTGCTTTCCATTGATTGACTTCTCTCTTGTGCATACTTGCTTTTGCACTTGTGGATATTACAGCCTTTTCATTTGGAACCCAGTTGCTGAGCAGTTGTGCTAGAAAAGTGTTATATCTTATCCCACTTTGAATGTTTATATATGCTGTGAAAATTTAATAGAATTCACATATGTATATTTAATGATAGATAATGATTAGATGAATTTAGAGCTATAAGTCATGCACTTATTGTATGAAAGTGTGTTTGATTTATGGTAAGATAGTGGATTAATGTTCATTTTCTTTTTTTTCCCATTTACTTTGCTGTGTATAATTGAAGGTCTCCGGATGTCTTTTTTTTTAAAAAAAAATTTCTGCAACTTGAATGCAATTGGGTTTTAAATCTGGTTTGAAAGAAAGCTTACAATTGGAGTATGCAATTCCATAAGGCCATGTTTACTACACATGAAGATTCAACAATCATGTGTAGTAAACATAGCCTAAAAGGTTTGGCTATACAGTTAGATTGATTCATCACAAATGATTTATTTCAGATTATTGACAGGCCAATGGATTTCAGTACTATAAAAAATCAAATGGAAGCAAAGGATGGCACTGGGTATAAGCATGTCCGTGAGATATATTCGGACATCTGCCTGGTATTTAAGAATGCAATGAAGTACAATGGTGAAAGTAGTGAGGTTTATGCCATGGCAGCAAAATTATTGGAAAAATTTGAGGAGAAGTGGCTTCAGTTTTTGCCAAAAGTTACAGATGAGGTAACTAACAAAATTGAGATGTGACTGCCAGTTAAGTTGATACGTTTGTCTTTATATTAATATTTCTTGAACATCATGAGTTTGTAAAGGGGTGTGTTTCGGTTTTATATTGCAGCATTATGGGAATAACAAATTTGAATTGAAAATAAGGTATTGGATGTGATGGTTGCAATGGAAAACAAGTTTTGATGTGATGTTTTAAATAAAAATAAGCATTTGATATAATGTTTCTTTTAGGTGAAAACATATTTTACTATAGAATGCTAATATGAAAACAAACTCGAAATCACCAGCACACCCAAGAATTTGGCGTTGAGCTACTTGAATATGTTAGAGATGAGCACTTTTTGGGAACTTCTGTTTCACAGGAAAAAAAACTTGAAGGGGAGCAAGCTGAAGCACAAAAAAGTCTTCAGCTTTTTCAGGAGGCAGCTAATGTAAAAATGGCCTGGGACATACATGATGAGGTGTGATAGAATTTATGATTTTGGTAGTGATGTGATGATGGCATTATTCTTAGATATGAAGCTGATAATTTGTTTAAAATTTGTTTCAGCTTCAAGATATTTCTAGGCAGATTGAAGAATTCAGAGAAAATGTGCAAAAAAACTGCAGGTTAGTCATATTGTTGTTGATGAAAACTTGCTGGACTTATTTTTGTTTTTTTTTTTTTTTTTTTTTTTTCATATTATACTTTCTGAGGTAGGGTGTTTACATGCATTTGTCTTGTGCCTACTCCCATGGTCTCTGTCAGCAGTAACCTTTCTTGTAAAAGCACCAATTATTTGCTTTTCGGTGATGGATTATCTGATTAAGCTTGTGGATGAACTATAAAGTAATTTATAGTGAAGTTAGGTTCTTGTAACTTCTTTAGTATCTAATAATTTTGTTAAATTCTTGAGCGAGTGAGACAATACATTACACGTTGAGTGTTGACCATGTTGTAATTGAACTTTCCAGCATACAAAGTACAATATCGGTATAGGCTTAGGACAATTCAGCCATTTATATAATTTCTAGTGGGACTGTATTGCTCTTATATTTTACCATTTTCAAAATTTTCGTAGTTAGATTCAAATGTATAACATGGCCTTCCTTTGAGAATGCAAGTAAAAGGTAAAACAGTAACAAATAAATTTTGTGGGCTAGTGATAGTTTCGGTTTGAAATTAAGTTGAAATGGAATGTTGATTTGAGTTTTTGTTTAATAGTATTTTGATGTGATGTTTTGTTTAAAAAAAATTATTGTATTTTTATTGAAAACTGTGTATGATGAATAGTGGTGATTTCAATTTGAAATCACAATCAAACAAACCAACTATTGCAAAACTTTTCTAGTCAACACCTCTCTCTCTCTCTCTCTCTCTCTCTCTCTCTCTCTCTCTGATTCACATACATTCTTCCTCTCTTATTGATACATTTATAATAGTGTGACATCTGTTGCAAGTTTAAGATTTAATGTAACGTCAGCTGAGGGTCTTTCTGTGTGTAGATCATATTTTTCTTCTTCCAAAACCATGGGATAGGAAACTATTGCATAGTTGGGCCGTAGGGATAGGTTTTTGAGTTTATGAAAGGACGGGGTTAGTCGTCAGGTATTTTATGAGCAAGGTTTCATGCAACACTGCAGTTTATAAGTACTGTTTTGGCATTTTACCACTAGTAATTCTTGAAATATTTTCAGTTTTCAGAAAGCATATAAACTCACATGATAATCCGCAGCGCCCGAATAGTAAAATCCTATTTGCAGAAATGCCTAATTTAGCACCATTCTTTGCTTCAATTAATTCACAGTGGTACGCTATTTGTGTGTTCTTCTTCTAAGATAGCCTAGCAATGATTTTTAGTAATAGTGAGAAATGTCACTCTTCCAAGGTATAAAAAGATAATCTGTCTTGGAAAACAATTTTCAGATTGGCTTGTTCTTACTTTTTTCATTTAACATTTTGTCGATCTTGTCCCATTTCTGCTCGTTTATCACCCCCAGCTAACTATTACCAAATTAAATACACTTGCGCAGGCACATCTCTACTTTGGAGAAGAGAAATCTTGGGGCCGCGCTCTGTAATTTACGCCCGGAAGATCTGAGCAAGGCATTGGATATGGTAGCTCAAAACGATTCCAACTTCCAAGCCACTGCAGAAGAGGTGGAACTCGACCTAAATGCTCAGGTTCTCTTCGACAAACACACACACACACACACATATATATATATATAATAAATACTCTTCTCATTAGCTAAATTGGCTCTTATTGTGCTGATCGATGCTGTTTCCCAATACATGAAAACAGAGCGACGCGACTTTGTGGAGGCTAAAATTTTTCGTGAATGATGCTTTAAAGGGTCGGTCCAATAGTCGTCCCGACGAAGGTGCTGCTGAGAAGAACGACAACAATAAAAACATTGCCACGAAACGCAAACGGGAGATGTGCGATGTTCGGGCCAAGACCACAAAGCGAAAGAAGAAACCATAATTGTTGTTCATATTTTCGATCAACACAAAAGCAAAGGTGTTATGTAGCTGAGGGTATCATTCGAAAAGTTTCTAACTAAAAGGCTCATTTACCCCGATCCAACTAACCATAGAAACTGTAGTTTAGTATGTTCTCTTGATCTGCATAATTTTTTAGTTTTTTAAGGCTGCGTCTACTGCATTGTGTTAGGATGGATAATATTACTTTATCCATCTTCATCTAATGTTTACTTTGAAATATTTGAATCTCAGTATTAGAGCTGTAAACGACGCGAATAGAGTCGAGCTTTGTCATGTTTGAGCTCTGCTCGTTAAGGACTCGAGCTCGGCTCGTGTTCGTTAAGATATACGAGCTGAAATTTTTGTTTGAGCTCGGCTCATTTAACAAATTTTTTGTTCATATTCAGCTCGACTCGGCTCGTTAAGAAAATTTTTATTTTATTTATTTAATTTTTTTAAAAAATTTAAATTTAGTTAATAATAGTTATAATTTTTATTAATAAATTTGAATAAAAATAGAATGAAATATACTATTTAGAAAGATATATATACTTATTAAATATAAAATTATTAATTTAATTTTTTTAATAAATATTATAGAAACGAGTTAAAATTTATGTTCGTGTTCGACTCGTTTAGCTTAGCGAACAAGCTCTTAGTGAGATCAAACGAAACCGAGCCGAGTTTGCGAATTGTTCATTTGTTTTACAGTACTACTCAGTATAATTATAAGTCTGGTATAGTAGTAGCTATGGTTCAATATCCTTATATTAATTTATGTAATTTAACAAAATATTTAATAATCACTTCTTTTTTTTTTCTCAGAAAAATATTTGTTATTACGATTTTTTCAGTTTCACCACAGATGATTTTTTTTTTCCCTCTCCCGTCTTTTTTTAATAAATTTATTCATTTTAAACATCTTAATAAATATAAATCAACGTATTTTATTTATTTATTTATATTATATAAAATTTTATTCTCTAAATATTCGTGAAATATAATGTTAAATATATATAAAATACCAACAGTACTAAAATGATGAAATAATTCAATAATTTATTAATTTATATTACCTAAATAACGTTATTCCTAACTAAAAAGTTTGTCATATACTAGGCGTAGGGGGTAAGAGTGAGATATTGTTAATTCTACACCACAGGGCACACGCTAGTATAAATTATATGTACAGTATCGTCAATAATTGATTATGACTAGTGATCTACATGCATTATTGATTGGAAAATATATATATATATATATATCTAAATATATAATTGAGGTTGACAATGTTGTAAATATGTATATATATTTTATTGGAAAATTGAGAAAAATATAAGAAAATAGTTAAAGATATTTAATTATTTATATGAATTAAGTTAGTAATTAAAGAAAATAATATGCTACAATGATAAAGATACGTATAGTAAATATTAATAAAAAAATATTTAAATATTAATATTTTGTATATTTGCAAAAACTAATAGTTTCTTTGTTCGTCAAATTTTATTTTTACTTTTTTTTTAGTTCGTTAGCTAAATTTATCATATTATTAATTTTGGCAAAGTTAACAAATCAACATTTAATTATTACACTTTATTCAATACTTATTTACAATAAATATCACTAACTTTATTACATTCTCGTTTACTTTCATTTTTAACTAAATTTTCAAAAATATACTCAATTACTTATCGTTTTTTTTAATAAAATATTTATTTTTTTAAATTCCGTGTCAAACCCAAATTGACTATTTTTAGTTGACGGAGAGAGTAATAGATGAATTTCGTGCAAATAAAAAAATATGAATAATTTTGACGGATAAAAAATAAATTATAAAAAAGATTGTGCATCGCACGGACTCACTAGTTTTATTTTTATTTATTTATGATTTTGAATTTATTTGTAGCTATCTATTGTTAAATTTAGCAACGTGTAGTACTGTTTGTAGTTCAACAAATATAATGACATTTCTCCTATATACTCCCTCCGTCCATTTACAAGGTTACATTTACTTTTGCGCGGTGTTTAAAAAATAATAATATTTTAATTATAGTGAGTAGTTAAAAGTAGTGTAATTACATTTTTGCCGTTACTTTTTTGTGTAAAAGTAATGATGTGATGTAAAATAAGGGTATTTGTGGAAAAAAATAGGTATTTAATGAAATGTAAACTTTGTAATTAGACGTCCCAAAATAGAAACATGTAAACTTTGTAAGTGGACCGATGGAGTATTTGATATGCCTATTTTATATATTTTTATTTTTTATTTTTCATTTGATAGCATTTTCTTTTAAATAATGATTTTATTGTGTTAAATTTAGTGGTTAAATAAATTTTGTAGGTAATATTATATATATATATATATATATATTAACATGTAATCCGCACTATGCACAATTTTTTTAATTTTTTAATTTTAAATTATACATTATTTAATTTAACCATTATTTATAAATAATATATTTTGATTTCTTATTTTATAGAATATGTTAGGGACTATATATCAATAATAACTAATAAGATGCATAAATAAATAGATATAAATTATTATATGTATATGGTATATATGAAAACGTGTATGTTATGTAGATATAAGACGACAGTTAGGATATGTTGATTTTTATCAAGTTAGCTTCTTGAAGTAATTAGCAAATTATCAAAAGTCATATAACCACATTATCAAATTATCATAAGACAAAAAATATATATTGTGGATTATATTTCTGTTCTAAAATCAGTATATATATATATATATATTTCTTTTTTTTGATACCCTGCAAATTAGGCCAGACGGGCAAATCACACATGGTTCGACGGCCAACACCAGATCATCTCTTACGAGACTATATATTATATTACTATTTGCTCTATGGGTTATATCTTGTGATATGTTGTATAATTTGCTTATTGTAATATAGTGTTAAAATAAGAGTATATTGTGCTGAAATTAAAATTATATTTTGCTAAAATATAATTTTATAATTTGTTATTAAAATATTTGCTTTATGTTATATTTATATGTGCTACTTTACTTATAAATATTTTGCTAATCTGGTCAAACTACATTGTGATAAAATCAAAATTATATTTTAATACATGTAATTATACTTTATTATTAAAATATTTACTATATATATTATGTTAATATGTGCTACTTTAAATGTAATTATACTTTATTATTAAAATAATATGTTTTTCAACATTTTAGTTCTCCGTGTATTTCTGTGAAAATATTTTTTAATTATTTACAATTACATTTTAAATTATTTTTACATATATTTTTAATTTCAAATAACAAATTGAAATTAAAAAAATATGTATTTTTAAAGAAAAATGAATTTCTACGTCACGCCGGCAATGACCCACATCGTGCGACAACAGAACTCTGGCAAGGTCCACGTCTGCAACAGGCTACGTATCATGTGTGTTTCTGAGGTGCCAAAGGACAAACTTATATAAGGCCCAGAGTTGAGATATTGTCCTAAATTGCTAATTTTCACATCTTCTGCCACATCAGTTCCGACGAGTACCACACAATCACTGGCGAGGTCAATCCGCTCACATGAGGTGCATGTGCTTTTTACCGTCGCCGGAGGATAATTTTAAGGCATTGAATGGACTTATTCTAAAAAATTCAATCCGAACCAATCTGAAAATTTGAACCAAATTTAAAGTTTCGGTTTGGTTCATATCGGATTTCGGATATTTTACTCACTACTATGGGTGTTACACACAATATGATTTATGAATTGATCACAAATAAGGTGATTTTGGTGGAATTGTTTAGTCACAACATAATTTAGTTGACAATTTGACAAAAGGGTTCATCAATTAAGATGACTGGACACCAAATTCCCTTCTAATACAATATTAGAAGCTGAATTCAATTTGTAATGATCAAATTTTGAAGTTTGGAACACATATTGCAAATTTGTCTCTGATTTGTGTTCGGATCTTAAAGAAAGGTAAGCTAAGAATTATTCTCTTAATAACTTACTTGAAAAATTGTTAATGAACGAAACAAGATTGGAATGAGTTACTTGCAAAGATATACGTGGGGGATCCCCGGTCCCGAGCACTGGAAGTATCCATACACATAAATGTATATACATATATGTGTATGTATAAATTCAAACTTTATACATACATGCACATGTATGTATATGCATGTGTGTGGTACTTTCGGTACCAGGTCAAAGCCCGGGACCGAAGATCCTATCTGTAGTTTTGCTACTTGAAGAATGTTTGGACTTGCTTTCGTTATGCTTGTGAATGGATAGAGACACATGAATCATAACATATCTAGTACGAAATGAAATGAATAGTAAACTTATGTGTATGTTACCTTCATGTATTAAAATGACTTGAAATGTTCAATCTTATATAGGAACATCTTAATTCTCGAATATTTCAAATATCCTGATTTACTAAGATGAAAATTCAATCTTTGAGATATTCTCATTTATGCATGAATTTATAGTGTATAACTATACTGTATCCGATTTGAGAATTATGCTAAAAGAGGAGGATTGTTAGAATTTAGCATATTGTTGGTAATTTGGTATGACTAGGTTTAATGTAAAATAAATATAATATAGAATAAATTTGAGGGAAGACTTAAGTATCCTATTGCCAATAGACATAAGTTCAAACCCTTACTCCATTTCTTTTTATTTGTTGAATCCAAATAAGAGAAAGTTCAAACGTAGACGCCGGATCAATCTGGCATCCCAGTCTTCTTCATGTGTCTAGTATTTGAGTTTAAAGTTCAAAATTGTCATCTCAAGTTAAAAGATTGCATCTTTTAAAACTGAAGGGATGTGTTTGTATTTCTATAAAATATAGGAACTAGTTTGAGATTGAAAAAATATGAGATAATACACAAAATATAATTTGATAATTCCTTTATAAAATACATCCAGAATCCTCCCTACAGGTTTACAGTCTCTTCACTTTTATTTCTTTTAGTTTTTTTTTCTTGGTTTATTTAATTGAAATCAAGATTGAATCTTTTTATTATGCCAATTCAAATTTCATGTACCTTGAGGCAAGAAAATGTTTGAAAATTATATTCGGAAAATGAATTTTCATAATACAAAGAACTATCCAACCATCATTATTGAGACCCTGTCACCTATATCCAGTATCTGCACATCAACCATTCTTGGTGTCACTAGAGTCCTTCGTAAGGTTAGTAAAATTCTATGTTACAAATTTACAGAGTCTTCAACTCTTTTATTTCTAAAAT